AGATGTGGATTTCCGTTAGACAAAGATAACAAAAGAAACGTGTGGGAGATAATTTTAAAGAATGAAAATTGGTTAAATGATTTACACTGTTGTTAACATTTATTTACAAGAAATTTATGTTTGTTTGGGACATGGTTGGAGTCTCGCGAATCGGAATTCGTGATAACATCTCTTCGATTTGTTCAGACTACTTTTACAATAATGGATTCACCAGATTCGGAAACCATTAACCAGGACCTATTTCTGCCTTAATTTGGACCGCGGAAAATGCTTTGGAGCTTCTCCATTCGAACATTAAGATTTTATAACCATTTGCCGTAATCTGCTTTTTTTATTCACGATAGTTCTATTAGGAAACACTTTACTGTTACTGGATACAATAAAAGATTCAAAATGGCAGTTTTGATTATCGATCAGCTGACACTCATTTGTTGATCTTTTTCACCTTTTCAATTCCCTTCAAATACGAAACAACCGCAAGAAGGATGAGACCGCTTAACATCCAATTAAAGACTATTACAGTGAATTTCCTTACATTTGATTATCGTGAGAAAAAAAAGTGTTTCTGGTATGAAGGGAAAGTGACAATGAAGTTTGTGTTGCGTGACACGGACGCAAGGTGGTTGATGAAGGTTTATTGACGACAAAGTTTAACGTTTGTCGATATGTAATAACAGCTCAAACCAGATTGGAATATAAATCAGACGATTAAATAGAATGGTAGTAACGATGAAAGTGATGATGTTATACGATGATATTATTAATTGTAAATGATAAGTACCCAAGTCTTCAGTTTCTAGAGCTTATATAGTGGATGCATTTACGTATACAAATAGCCGCATATAAGATCTCTATAATATTTCAACAGCTTTACATAAGATACTCACAGTATTCCAACAGCTGCATACACGATTAATTCTCAGGTAACAGTTTACATGAAAATTAAATAATTGACACATCTCTTTAGGTATGGGGAAAGATTTATTTGATTTTGTATGTAAAGTGATGAATCCTTTATTTAGATCTATTCTAAACAACAATAGTTTCCTATCTCATCAAATATTATTCACATGAAATAATCCTTATTTTGCAACAAAAACACAACACTGTTCTCATTTCTGTTTCCTTACATATAAATATCTAAGACTACTTCTGGTAGTATCTCACCCCTGCAATAATGACCGTAATCAAAAACACTGACAGTAAGTTTTAGTCAAACGCAAGGTCATGCATCAAATTCCAGGAAAAAACGCAATGAAATCAAAACATCCATATTTTTGCATTGTTCGAAATGAAACCAATTCAAGTTAAATTAATAGAAGAAAATACTGAGACATACAATGTCATGCACAGTTTGCTAATAACGAAATAACGAAATGAGTGAAAAAAATCTCTTCCGAATTTCATGAAAATAACATTGGAAACGCTTTTAATAGGAACATCAAATGCGATTTGGAGAAATCATTGTGACAAAAAAAAGTGTACTTTGACTTTGTACTTTGACATGCTTGAAAAGAATTCCGATATGGTAATTCATCCAATCAGAAGAATGGTTCCACTTGTTCATTCTCCAAATCTAACAGGGGTAGCTGGTTGGATGTGATGCTGCTTTCGACACAATAGCCATTTGAAACCATGAATTGCGGCATCCCGAAAATCCTTTTGCCGATACATGAATAACATTACCATATTGAAGGAATTCAAGAGAGGCAAATATATGCAAAGCATCACAACCAAAGGTATCCTTTTAATGCGATCCATCACAAAAATGCACTTCAATGTTGATGGCACCACAACGAGAACTGCAAAAAGAAGGATGAAACTACAAGTTAGAAAGTAAAAGGGGTGGAAGGTGATAATTAAGATAGATCTCACCGTTGGTCCGACCTCTTTTATATTTGATTGATCCTTTTGAAGTTAAAGGTGGTATAAAGGTTTTATTATTAACTGGATTATTGTCCGAAGTTTTAAAATTTAGAACAGCTTTGATTCATAAGCATTGGATTCATGACAATTCTGTATTATTTTCACAACTGCTTATGGTAATGCATTATTTAGCCATTTAGCAAAAACACACAAAATGTAAAACAGCAGGAGATCAGTGCTGTATGGGTGTATCGCTTTTGATTCTCGAGAAAACGTGTCAAGTCGCGGTTATGTGAATTATGTGAAAGGAACTGAGCACCAAATTTCCTGGAAAAGATATTAAAACTCAATATATATTTAAACTTGACTTCGTTGACATATCATGATTTCTTCCCAACATAGCTCACTAAGTATTCATCAAATCGGATTCCACTGAATTTAAGAATCAGTTGAACCGAGATAATGCTTAAGCAAAATAGGAGAGCATCGTGATACAATCATAAGTTTTAACCCATCAGCCAATTAATGATATGAATAAAGATGCATGATTGCATATGGCAGCTATAATTATTAACTACAACTATAACTTTCAACCATAATTATTTTTAAATCTATACCTTTTCAGCATGAAAACAACAATAACCATCAGAATAATACTAAATAATGATGTAATGGAATTCGTTAATGTTAGAGTAACGTAAAAATAAGAGCTATAAACGTTCTGCAGTCTGCAATATTCATTACGCATTAGATTAGCAGAAATACGAAAATACGAAAAATCGAAAAGTTGAAAGTAGAATCATTTGTATGATGCAATAATGTGGTCATTGTAACTTACAAACAGAAATGAGATATATATCGAATCGGTTCAATTAAACTGGCCATGGCGGTAAAAGTTACCGCAAATATAGTAATTGCGTATTGTGCGACAATTAATGAGTAAGCTATTCGTTTACTGTGAGTATAATAATACAATGGGGATGCTACAACACAAAGCCTATCCACACTGTTCATTAGCAAGCTCCATCCATTCAGAAAAAACATTGTCAGAAGAAAGATTGGCACCTAAAACTTTACCACTCGTTGAATTCGTAGTATCACACAAGCACTAATTTTGTTTATCGATTTACGGTAGCAATCTTAAAATACGGTATTAAATATAGGTAAAAATTTCTAGTTTTTAGTATTTTAATTTGAAATTTTTTATTATATCAAAAAAATGTTAAGATAAGCGAATAATTTTAGTATGATTTCGAAAAATAAACGGACATTGAGTACGCAGTTGTGATGAGCAACATATTGTTCTTCAGTGGCAGAAACAATCCATCGGTGTATTCCCATCAATACTGCACTTATTCCGGTCAATCCAT